CAAGAGAAGGAGGGAAAATTACATGAATTATGGCAGGGCTAAGGTTAGGGATAGGGTTAAGGTACAGTTAGGGGTAGGGTTAGGGTATAGTTAGGAGATTGCCGAAGTCCCAAATTGCCAAAGTCCCGAATTTCAGTAGTGCCGAATTTTGGAAATGCCGAACTGAACCAAAGTTTTTGACCATGTACATCCCTAGGAATGATCAATATGATGTCCTTAACAACGTGGGCAATAAAAATACATTGTTGCTCCAATTTATTCTTTGTGCTTTCCAAGCCTTATTTCTATTGCCCAAAGCGGGGCATCTGACGTCATGTGTTCCAAGGATCCGGAACCAAACAAACCATTAAGTGTTTCACTATTATGTTGATCCTCATAATGTCCATTTTGCAAAACCTACTGTTCGGAGTGAGGAAATATGTGCTACAAAAAATTGTTATACACCTATAGAAATTTCACATCTATAGCAAATAAGTGAAGGAAGATCACATGACCATTTGGCTAGCTGGGGATAAGGAACATAGACTACAAAGAATAATAAAGAACATGCACTACAACTAAATCAACTTATACAGCTTATGTATCAGTATAAAAATAAAACAAAATGTATAAATAAAATGCATTTAGTCTTCTATAGTGCATAATTTGTGATCTATTAATCCAATAACCTTCTCTCCTTCTTGAAATCAAACAATTATTACAGTGTAAAGGAACTGAAAGTTTATCGAATTTCCGTCTGACATTTTTTAAATGTCTATGTGTATTTTTGCATTTCTATATCTGTAGATTACCTTTGTTTTGTTAATATATGTAGAAAATTGGGAGGAATCATCAGGTCTCTACAGTATTTGGTGTATAGAAGGATAATTACTCTGCTCACTTCACTCCACTGGTGTTGTAATATAAGGTGTTGCATGTTTATATATCTTTTGAGTAAAAAAAAAAAATCACCTGCCTGATTGCCCAACTAATCGCTGTAGTGGAGCTTATTTAGCCATGAATCAAGAGCCCCTTAAGTACTTGATTCGGACCCTCGCTCCATTATATCCCATTCCATCATGACTCACTTTCAGTATGACTATTCCACAATTTCCAAGAAAAAAATACAGATGCAGCATAATTGTTTGAAATGTATGGGGTGATGGGATAGCAGTAGTCATAGAAATGCAGATTAATGTACATTTATGATTTCAAAGAAATTATTTGAGTCTGCACTATTATTGACTTTCCAAGTTCCTGCACCTATATGTAAGAAAAATATGCATAAGAACATATTTTCAAGAAAAGCAATTACTTTTCAGTTTAAATTATTACTTTTTTGCAGATCACAGACATGTGATTGTTAAATTGCATCAATCTCCATATCTCAATAGAGAGATTTAAACTCATGAGTAATTTAGCTTATAGGATTTGGATTTGCTACCACATACAGATAGGTTCAGTATGACTGGCAGTTAATTAAGTCTTAGCTTTAGGAGCCATAGAAGTGAAATGACTTATAAAGTAATATATGAATGAAACAGGAGAAACTAAAACATGTCTCTACTGTAAGGCAAGCTATTTCATATGGTGTATTATCATGCAAACAATGGCCTCGATAACCATCCATCGATAACAGTCAATTATTATAGCTTTTTTTTGACCAATTATGTGGTTTTAAATATTTGCTCATTTTAATGCCAGCCAAAATTCAAAGAGCCAAACTTAATAAATAGGTCTGGTCACTGAAATTAAACTGCCTATAAATGTGCATCAAAACCACATTTATTGTTTTTTAATGAATACCTCCTCTGTTAGTTACTTAAATATAAAAAATAAATCTCATATGAGAGTTAATATACTGCTGGTGGGGACATGTCTATTGAACAGTGAGCAGTCAGTGGCTGCCCACTGTTATTAAAAACAAGTGACAGGGAAGATATTGCTGACAGTTATAATAAAATACAGGAGTGGTACAGGTCTCCTCCAGGCCCCTAACTACCGATATAGGTGAAGGCTTCAAATTAACTAACAAGAGTTAGATAGGTCACTGCCCACCCAACTGCCCCCCTACCTGTGGCCAGTGGCTGGGGACTCTATTAAATAAAATAAATGAAGGAACATTCTAAAATCTCCCACAGGCACCACTGATGAGCAGCAGGGGGAGGCTATTAATTAGCAAAATGAGTGGCATCCTTTTGTCTCCCAGCCCCCACTAATTGGCAGAGAGTGTGGGATATTAAAAAAAAATAGAAAGGGTTGGCATGTTTTTGTCCAACTCTCAACCTTCATCTATGGACTTAGGGTAGGGGCTATTAAAGACATTGAGGGATGTGGACATGCTTTTCTCTAAGCCCTTACCCTCACATAGGCTGTGGGTGAGGGTTATTAATGGTAATAGGGTGGGTAGACATACCATTGGTCACAAGCCCCTAGCCAACCCCCCACCCCCCACAAACATTGTATACTTGCGGGAGAATACCGCAGTGATGTCGATTCCCAGCACTGAAGTACCAGGAGCAGAAGAGGACTGCTCATGCAATGGACAAGATCAGGTTAGTTCCGGTAAGTAGAACTCACCTTTACCTGCCCCCACCTCCCGGCCTCTGGAACTCCAGCGGTAATGGTTCTGTCAAGGATCTTTGTTAATTTCTCCCCTTAGTTCTTTATCCTTAATTTGTAGTATTTATGCCAATTGCAGTTAGCATTTGAATATAATATATTCATATGAAATAATTATATAAATATAATAATATGAAACAGGTTATGTAGGGATATTCTTAAGACTACTTCAGGATACAGTAGTAAACAAAACTATTAAATGGAAATCAAGGGAAGAGGCCATAAAATCACGTGTTAAATACAAATAGGTATGAAACAGTTTCTATTATAAAAATAGATTGGGAAACCAATTGGAGCCTAAAATTGTTCATAGTGCAAATAATTGCTAATGGAGCAGAATTCAACCACAGGTTTTTTAAGCTTTTATCACAATGTTAATGAATGCCAATTGTACTCTTGAGTTACCACACTATGTTATTTCTAACAGAGACAACTGTGTTCATTAGATACTGCTCCATCTTCAAATAAGATGTTTGCAACTGATGATTCATATAATGCAGATTTATTTTATTTCAAGTGATATAGGAGTGCTTACAAAGTAATAGTTAGGGGGGAGAGAATTGTATTATGCAATAATAATGTCATTAATATGTTTTTGAGTTTGGTTTCTCATGAATTGCAATTAGTCCGGATTTAGGGTGATCGGCAGGACAATTAAAATCCTGTTCTCTTTGTATTTTGGAGTTCTGACCATGGTGCCGACAACAAAAAAAGATGATTGGTTAGAAAATTAATTATTGATAGTAGGGGGACAGCCACTAATTGTAACTAATTTTATTTACCGATAAAGTGATATGTGAGCAATACAGGGGAAAAAATGATACAAATATACATTTTTTTTACCCCTCCTCCTCTTTTCTCATCTATTCTTCTCAGTTGATCCATGTACCAACAAGCACAAAAAAGCAACTATTTTTATTTCACACCCTTTTGGTTCATCCCTATAATTTTTTTCCTGAAACAATTCTATAGACAAAATTTTTTCATAGACAAAATTGAATCAAAATGCCATGTGGATAACTCTCGAATCGCCAGAAACAATATATACAAAATACAAAATCCAGCGCACTCGCTTATTCACTATACAAAGATTTCAAATTTTAGAGATTGGAATAGTTTTATTTAAAAACACCTCACCTAGGTAAAAAATAATGGTGGTATAGTTGACGTTGTGGCAGGCTTAACGGATTATGAAAACCAAAATGCTTATAGGTGGCACACTAATAAAAGCACACATAGCCATTCATTTAAAATAAATATTAAAGATAAGTCTTCACAAAAAAAAAAAAAAAAATTCTGTTGTTGGGACTTCTGTAAATGCAAATTCTGACCACTTACAAGATATCTCCCTTTCTTTTTTTAGGAGTACTCCCCCCCAACATCAAGGAGGGTCTCCAGCAAAAATGGGCCACAAGAAGCAGAATATTTCGAGCTGAGGATGAGCTGTCCGAGCTCTGAACAGGTTTGACATTCTGTCCTGTATACAGTCTAAAACATGTAGATGTTAATATTGACTTATGCAGATTTTTTCATAATCTTAGACTTAAGGTGTTTTTCAACAGATCTGTGTTTCCTCAAATTGAGGCAATGTCTGTAAATACACCTTTAAAGAGACACTGTAGGCACACAGACCACTTCAGCTCATTAAATTGGTCTGGGTGCAAACTCCCATCACCCTTAACCTTAGAGTAGTAATTATTGCAGTTTTTATAAACTGTAATAATTACCTGCTAGTGTTAACTCCTACTACAGCCCCTAGAGGGAATTCTGGATGCTTGGACGCCTTTTGGTCATCTAAGCGATGTTGGACGATCTCATGCTATGGATGAGGACCTCCAGTGTCACAAGAATATCCATAGGAAAGCATTGAATAATGCTTTCCTATGTGGAAATCCTCATGCGAGCGTGGCCATTGCCGCGCATGCACATCAGGTCTCCTCCGATAGGGCAATGAATGGAGACTAAAACAATAATAGGGATGGTAGGCAGCACATTATACCATAAGTAAGTTAATTTTTCCAAGAATGGCCTATGTGAACGGAGGCAGTGCAACCCATCCTCCAACCCAACTGCTTCTAGTGTTTATGAGGTGTCAGTGGGGGCTGCTATTGTGGGAGAGGCCTTAACCTTGTTGTACTGTTAGCTAACTGCGACTTGGAGTATTATTGGGGGGAATAATAATAATTAGGGAATGTGCTAACTTGGGTTTGGTGGGGTGATATCTGCATTTGCATGCGATCTGAGGCTCTGAGAGCAGGTGAAGGAGGTTGTTCAATTGGGTGACAGTTTGTGTGGGGCTGTGTGTTCATCGCTGGGTTGCTCAACTGGGATGTCCCATTCATGAAGCTGCTTCAAGCCATCTGGGATCAGGAAAGCTTTTATCTTGCCATCTTGGTGTACTAACAATTTTGTGGGGTATCCCCAACGTTATCTCGGAACGGCTTCCTTCTTCTCAGGGTGGCTGTTGAAAGGTCTGCAGATATCTTGACCTTGGTGTATTCTGCTGGCGGGGTTGCTTTGGTGTGGCTTGAACGAAAGATCAGTTCCTTGATATGGCAGTAATGTGCACTGAGTAGTACTTCTCGTGGCACAGAGTCAGGGAGATGCCTTGGTTTGGGGACTCTGTCCGCTAGGAGCATATCTGCTGGGATTTTGGAAGCATATGCATTGAGGAGGCCTCGTACATATAGTGATAGATCTGTCTCAAGAACTCCTCGGAGGTGCAGGTTGTTTCTGCATGACCGGTCCTCCATGTCTGCCATGCTAGTTTCAATGCTTTCTATTTTCTATTCCAGTTTTTGGATGTGATCCGCCATGTCATTGTGGGTGGGCTGTAGCAAAATCACTAAACTTTTGTTCAGTGTGCGATGTGTGTGTTTCGAGATCCTGAAGTCTTTGGGCAGGGCATCCACTGTGTGATGCCAGGTGGTGATTAGCCTGTTTGACATGGCTTTCAGTTGTTGAACAAAGTACGTCTTGGTGATATGTCCTGTTTAGTTTGGGCTTTCTGATGTGGAATCAATCAATTAATTGATTATCTTGGGTATATGCCCCCGGCCAAATTAAAGAAGTAATGCGTGCACGCTCCTAAAGTAATTCACACCAGACACAGGTTTCGGTTAATTAAAAACTTGAGGAATGTTTATTCTGGGGGGGACATCATGCCCCTTATAAAGCAAAATTCCCAGATTTTACTATTAACATGACGTAAAGTCATGATTTTATTAAAGACACGGAGGCGAGTATTATGCATAACTCTTTCTTTATTTCCTCAGCAGCAAAGATAGAGGAATATAAATATTGTCAAAATGAAAGAAAAAACTGCATAGATACACAGGCAACCAATCACATAACAGAGGAAGTGACTATAAAAGGCCTGTGTCTCCCACAATCCCCCTCTTTCTTGCGGAAACCGAAGACCAGATAAGAAGAACGAAATCCAACTTGTCCATAACAGGAAAAAGGCAACGAACCGAAAACTTCAAGCTAAAAAGAGAGAGAGAAATATGGTAATACCCAGACTTCAAACTGTAAACTTACCAAAACAAACTGTTGGTTACTCAACGACAGATAATTATAGGGATCAAAGCAAACATTAGCAGTTCCATGATAAACCGGAATCTGAAAAACATAAATAAATAATTAGTCGATGTGATATAACAAGTGAGTCACATACCCATAGTGACATAGAAAAACATACCGACATGAAAAAACGTACCTGAAGAGCTCAAAAGCATCTCAACCCTATACCCTCACGGGAGGGTGGGAGGGAATAATACTCGCCTCCGTGTCTTTAATAAAATCATGACTTTACGTCATGTTAATAGTAAAATCTGGGAATTTTATTAAAGACACGGAGGCTCATATTATGCAAGTTTAAAGCTGTGCGATCACCTGAGATGCGATATGCTCAATAGGTTTGAAATAGAATTCACGGAAGGTCGATTCTCTAGACCAGTCCGCAGCACGCATGATGTCCTCTAGTCGACAGCCGACCGTGGATGCCTTCGAAGCCATAGCACCCCGAACCGAGTGAGGCGTAAAGACCGAAGTGTCAACGCCCGCCGAGGATAAAAGCCAGCGCACCCATCGTGCGAGAGTCGGAGTCGAAACAGGCCTATGAGGTGTCCTAAAAGACACGAACAGAGGATGCAAGTCCAAGGAACGAAAAGGTCGAGTAGCATCCAGATAAGTCTTCAGACATTCAACCGGACACAATGCTGGAGAGCCCGGGAACCTAGGATACGTGAACGACTTGGATGCCGACTTTGTCCTCCTGGATATGTTGAAAGTAACACCCTCCGGGGTGAATACAATGGCGTCCCAGTCAAGGGCCCTAACATCAGACACCCTCTTACATGAAACCAAACAGAGTAGCATCACTAGTTTGGAGGATAACTGCTTGAGACTCAGTTCGTGGTTAGGATACCAAGATGAGAGGAATCGTAACATGACGTTGACGTCCCAGAAGGCAGAGAAGCGAGGTCTAGGAGGGCGAGCGAGGCGGATGCCTTTGAGAAGGCGGCACACAAAAGGATGTCTGCCGACTGGTGAGCCATCCAAACCACTATGCCCGGCCGAAATCGCCGAGCGGTAGAGGTTGACGGTGCGGTATGCCTTGCCCGTCTCAAACAGTGTCGTGAGAAACTCTAGGATCAGATGGAGAGGGGCAGATACGGGATCCACAGACCGTTCCATGCACCAATCAGACCACGAATTCCATGAAGCACGGTAGGCTGATCTCGTACCGGGGGCCCAGGCGTTATCGAGGAGCAGGAGAGTTGATCGCGGAACATTTGGGACAGCCCAAGTTCCCCTGAAAGGAGCCACGCCACAAGAGGCAACTGCCGTTGACGCACAAGATCGTGAGAGTTCCCATCCGGATCCAGAAGGAGGTCCTGGAAGCACGGGATCAACCGGGGATAGTCTATTGACAACTCCAACAGACGAGGGAACCATGGTCTGGATCTCCACAGGGGGTGATCAAAACCAGGCGGCACTCGTGACGAGTCATCTTCGATATCGTGCGGGCGATCATGTTGAACGGGGGAAAGGCATAAAGGCAGCCCGGTGGCCATTCCTGGAGAAAGGCGTCCGTCGCGACCGCTGCCGGGTCCGGCCTCCAGCTGTAAAATTCCGGTAGTTGAGCGTTCAGACGGGACGCGAACAGATCCATCCTGAACCGCCCCCATAGACTGTCCAGGCCTTGGAACACCGAAACGTGCAAACGCCAGTCTCCCGAGTCTCTCAAATGTCTGGAATTCCAATCCGCGTCCGAATTGTCCAGCCCCGGAATGTGTTCCGCTGTCACGGACACATTGTTGAAAAGGCAAAATTGCCAAAAATCTTTCGCTAGCAGAGCCAACATCCTGGACTTGGTGCCTCCAAGGTGGTTGATATAACGTACGGCCGACACGTTGTCCATCTTGAGAAGAACGCAGCAGTTCGCCCGTCCTGGGGTAAGGCTGCGAATCGCGAATGCCCCTGCCAGGAGCTCCAGGCAATTGATGTGCAGGGATCTCTCCGTCTCGGACCATCTGCCTCCTGTGGAAACGTTGCCACAACGAGCCCCCCAGCCGTGTAAGCTGGCATCTGATTCTATTATCACGTCCGGGATGGAACCGAAGATGGCCCTCCCGTTCCAGGCTTCCATGTGGGCTAACCACCACACCAGTTCGTCTCTGGACTCCACGTCCAGCTGTACACGGGATTCGTAGGAATGACCTGCTCGGAGGTGAGAACCCTTGAGCCTTTGGAGGGCACGATAATGGAGTGGGCCCGGGAATATCGCCTGAATGGAGGCCGCAAGGAGACCGATAATGCGTGCCAATTGCCTGATGGATAGATCTTGTACACGCAGAGCCCTTCGAAGCTCCTTTCGGATGGCTCTGATCTTTGAATCCGGCAAGTATAGGAATTGGCGGATGGAATCCACCTGGAAACCTAGGAACTCCATCGACTGTGATGGGTCCAGGATCGATTTGTCCCAATTGATCAAGAACCCCAGGTTTTGCAGTAGATCGATCGTCCATCCCAAATGCGTGAGAAGCTGGTCTCTGGACTGGGACATGATTAAGATGTCGTCCAGGTAAATGATTAAACGCACCCCACGGGTACGGAGGAACTCCATCGGAGGCTTCATGATCTTGGTGAAGCACCATGGCGCCGAGGAAAGGCCGAAAGGCAGACAGGTAAAGCGCCAGCGTCTCCCATGCCAGGTGAAGTGCAGGTAATCCCTGCACTCCAACGCTATCGGGACAGTGAAATACGCGTCCTTCAGATCCAACTTGGCCAGCCAGTCTGACTGACGGAGGAGGTCCCTGAGGCAGTGTATACCCTCCATCTGAAAGTGTTGGTACCGGAGGAATGCGTTGAGGGGGCGGAGATTTATCACCGGGCGGACTCCGCCCCCTTTCTTGGGGACCAGGAAGAGATTGCTCGTAAAGCCTTGAGCGGCGAACGGCAACTCTTCTATAGCGCCTTTCGACAGCATCTCCTCGACTTCTGCCGAGATCATCTCGTCTTGGTCTAGCGGGAGAGACAATTCCCTGGGGACATGAAATTGGACAGGGAGAGAAACAAACTCCAGGCGATAGCCCTTCACACACTGTAGAACCCAAGCGTCTGAAGTAATACTTGCCCACTCTTGGTGGAACAGAGCCAGCCTGCCCGCTACCCGAGCCCGAGTAATATGGGAAGAAGGGGTACTTACCATAAGGGCGTCTTCCCGAAGCGGCACCGCGGGGGTATCTGGAGCCCCAAGGTCTCCCTCTGGCTGGGAAGAAAGGGGGCGTCCTCGGATCCTGGAATCCCCGGGACGGAAAGAAGGAACCTCTTTGGGCACGTGAGGAGCCACGGAAACCACGGCCGGGTGGACGGTTCCTGCTACGCCCGGCCCCTCCGAAAACCTTGGGCGCGAACATGCGCTTCATATTCGCCTGCGCCTTGTCAATGGCCGTAAAGGTCTTAACATACGACCCCAAGTCCTTAACAAAGGAAGCACCGAACAGCATCCCCTCCTCGGAAGGATCAGGCTCCGCCACAGTCATGGCAGCCAGTTTTGGGTCAAGCTTGAGGAGAATTGCCTTACGCCTCTCTGAGGACATGGCAGTGTTCGCATTCCCCAAAAGACAGATAGCTCTCTGGACCCATCCTATGGCAACATCAACATCCAGCATGGAAGTGCCTGCCCGAGCGCCGTCCAGGAGCTCGTATAATTTAGATAAAGGACCCAGGGTGTCCAAGAGCTTGTCCTGGCACCCCTTGAGCGAATAGTCTAAGCCCTTCTTGGGCTTCCAGCCCGATTTGTTCATGAATTGAGCAATCTGAGGGTCGATGTCAGGGGTTTTGCAGGCTGCACCGGGCAGAGAGGGTCTGGGGCATTCCGCCCGCAACTTATTGCGACCTTCTTTGGAAAGGGGGGTGTGCATGCGCCGTGCCACATATTGAGCAATATGGTCCGGGGGAACCCACTCTGCGGACCTAGGGTGACGAAGATCGTCGGGGTCAAATAAGGGGTTGCCCTGAGGGTCAACCAGTGCCTTGGTATCCCCAGTGGGGTTTATCAACTGACTACGGGCAGGGGCGGGTGCCCCAGAAGGGGTCACACCCGCAAGCGGTAAGTCCTCACCCGACTCACCCTCATCAAAGGAGTCATACTCCAGAACGTCTGATTCATCCTCCACACTCCGGTCGGAATCCGACCCATCATCCAGGGCTTTAGCCCGTTTCCACAACCTAGCCTTTTTAGCCCGGCCAGGGGCTCTTTTGCGCGTGGGAGGCGCGCTGTCTGTGACCGCCTCTAGCGTGTCAATCATGGCAGGTAGAACCTGCATCGAGGAGTGGGAGTCGACGTGTTTAGATTTCTCCTTAGCCTTACGGGCCCCCGGCACAGTCGGGGTAGGAGAGGGTAGTCCCATGCCCAGGAGGGCGGGAGTCGCCATGGAAGGCAGCAGGAGAGAATGCAGGGATTGGGAAAAAGAGGATGATACAGCCCCCATGGCTGAAGCAAAAGCCTTCTGCAGGGAAGAGGCCATAGTGGCATCCAGCAGGGCTTGGAATTCCTGGGAAGCAGTAGCCCCCACAGGATTATCTGTATTGAAATCAGTGGGGAGGCCCTCAGGCCCATCCTCCCTCTCCTGCATAGCTAAAGTAATTTACCAGGGGAAACCCAACACAAACAGTTTACAAGTTAAAACAGTGTCAAAAACAGGATTGAAAGGGTTGATTAACCCTGCAGAGTGAAAATAGGAAGAAAAACCTGAGCACTGGTGCACCCCAGGGACCCAGGAGTAAGGTAGAGCGCACGGCAGCAGAATGGAACGACCGGGGGTAAGGACCGCCCTCAAGATGGCCGCCGCACGTGCAGGGAGCGCTCGTGGCCTGCAACCCGGCGGGGGAAGGGGCGCGCGCCCCTCCCCGCGCGGGCAGCCCGCGAGCGAGCCGGGAAACACGCTGACAGCCGCGGCAGTACCAGAGAGAGCCGCGGCTGAAAGCCGACCTGGGAATAGAAGGCACCCGCCGGCCGGCAGAGCGGTCGCGGCGGGCGGAGTGAGGGAGGGGTGGGTGGGAGCACCAGCGCAGGGGACAGAGTAGGAGCTGCAAGAGGCAGCTCAGCAGATATAAAACACAGAGGAATGAATGTGAACAATCACAGTGCAATCTCAAACAACCATAAGAAAAGCACCATAATAGTACAGCATAACAACCATGTAAATATAAAACACAGCAAATAAATACAATGGACCAAGCAAAGTACTTAGCTGTCTGAGGAAGCAGCAAAGAAAGAGGGGGATTGTGGGAGACACAGGCCTTTTATAGTCACTTCCTCTGTTATGTGATTGGTTGCCTGTGTATCTATGCAGTTTTTTCTTTCATTTTGACAATATTTATATTCCTCTATCTTTGCTGCTGAGGAAATAAAGAAAGAGTTATGCATAATATGAGCCTCCGTGTCTTTAATAAAATTAGAGAAATAATTTGTTCTGCAGTAAGAGAGGCCAAATTGCACATAATTGCTCATGTGTTTATGGTCTTTTTCAAATCCTTGGTTAAAAAAATAAAAATAAATAAAAAAGCCCCTATGGTGTCACAGACACAATTAACCTCTTCCGATCACGAAGGCAAACAATGAAGGCCAAATGGTTCATGAAATAAAACTGCTACTCTGGCTGGCTTGGTGCCTTGCAGCAGTCTGAGAGAAGGGATGTAACATGTTGATTAATGAGACATGGCATTTATTAAAATGATTGGGGTCACAGGAGCAATCCTGGACTTCTACAACAGCCAAGTTTAACAAAGTTTATTGTAAAAAGGGCAGAACAAAGCACGTGATGTTACAGACTGTTTAGCTGCTGGGGAACAGTAATCTTGCTTTCCGCAGATACATTTTCCTTCTTTTTGAATCAAAACAAAAAAAATGTATGCACCTTGGAAACTAGAATAAACACATAAGCTTATATACTATACACTAGAGCTACACCAAATGGTTGAAATAATAGACAATGTAAACAATCAGATCTACCTGCTGCTAAACTAGTGTTCAGTTCTCTCCCTAAAACACTTGTGATTCTCGAGCGATTATCCAATGTGGCTCAAAAGAAGCTGGACTTTTATTTCATGTGCTAATACGGTCAGCATAAAGTGAATGGTGATGAGGGAGTGCCTGCAAAATATTTACTGTTCCTCAGAAATGTATTTAAAAACATTTTTTAAATTGTTTAGCTGATTTGCTGACTTGGACAAAATGGATATTGCTAATGCAAAAAGGCAAGCACTTGATATTTTTCTCAGATAGAAGGGGAATATGCGAGGGGCATCTTGGCACTATAAAGCTCCCCTTTAACTAACTGACTAATAATCTAAGATAAACAATAATAACATCGTAAAATCAGCAATCTACACAATAGCTTTACACAATGTCCAGGCTATAAGAGAAAGAAATGTTTAAGGTTTTAAATTGCAAATCTGCAATTTGCAGGGGGAGGGGGGAAACACAAATGCAAGAAACTTTGTAAAGCAAGTGGACATGCAAAGTATACCATTCATTAGAAGAATTTGCATCTTAATCATTATCAATATAATTACTTGCATACTTTACCAAACATCCTACTATACTACCTATTCTCCGCACTTCTACCATAGTCACAGTAAAATGTCAACCTGCCCACATCCTATAACCAAGCCATAACCTGAAATATTCCTGAAGATGAACTTCTGAACATTCGGTCTACCTACAGCAATTTTAGGTGGTTGACACGAGTTTGACATAGTTTGGTAACCACTTGGTGCCTAGCAGCAACATAACCACTATAATTAAAAAGGACTCAAAGCTCCTTAACTTTATACAAAAGTCACAACATAAATAGTGGAACCAACCTGAGCACTTTGTGATGAAGACTGTATTTTAATAGAACCCTTCTTTGTTCTCGCTTCTGATGGGGCAGAAATGTGATTTAGTAGCTTTACTGAAGAGGTAATGCATTTGAGGTCACCATTTTCTTGGTTTCCATTCTGGAATGTGGACAAGACCGACGCGCTATCCGTTTCATCCAGCTGCAAAGGCTTGCTATTGGGTTTCTCTCTGTGATACTGTAAAGAACCAAAGCTATTCTTCTGAACACCATCTTGAATAGAAGACTGGGCAGGAAGACTACTGGTGGTGTTCTGTCTTCTGAAGGGTAGTTTATAGCTGTGAGTATGTGACTTCTGTAGGAAAAACTGAGAGGGTCTCAATAAGTGTTCATTTGATTTCCCCAAATTCTTACTGAACTCATTTAAGTAATCTGAATTGCCTTGAAGACCAAAAGGTAAAGCACTATCAACACTTCTAGATCTTTTACGGTCATCTGGATGAATTCTATTTCTTCTGGCTGATCGGCCTCTTCTTTGTGCAGGGGTGTTGGAATCAAATTTCTCTATCAGTTCATCCACTGCAGGAATGCACCCAGTATCAATATCTCGGCCAGTGCCAGGCACAAACGGAATGTACCGTCTATTTTGATGGCGGTTAACATTATCCGCGTACAGTGCATCTTCTTGCTCCTCCAGCAAAAACCTTTGCAATGAATGAGATGAGGTTGCAGTTGAGGAACAGGAGGACCTGCGTGACCTTGACCCCTCAAGAACTGGGCCTGCAGAATCCTGTCTTCTGAATTGAAGAACGTCTGGCCTTGCCTTTCTGGTTTCGGAAAGAGCATTAAAAAGCTGCTGTGTGGGGACACTACTAGTAGAAATCGATTCATTAGTTATATTTTCACTTGGGCTACTTAAAACACTTACATTAGCTGGTGGGTTGTTTTGGTTTTCCTCCTTTGTAGAGAAGATTTTTGAGCAAAAGTATTGTAACAAATGAATCTGCTGAATCAAAAATTTTTGTGTTTGATTTTAAACTCCATTTTATAGAAATCAAAAGATTTTTTCTATTTTAATGTCATGGTTACTTTATGTAAAAACTCAATTCCTCCATATTTTCACAGTTTTCTGGTAAAAGTTTGAATTCGGGGTTTCTTTACCACAACAAACTTCTTTCCTTCTGTGAATTTGCTGCTGTACAGTCTAAAATTCAGTTTTGGAGTAGTTTAATGATCGCTAAGGCCATCAGGAAAAGGTGATCTTCAGTGTATTTTCTCTAGTATTATATTTATGTCTTAACCTTTTACATTCAGTGAGGTGATAGGTTCTAGGTCTTCAGGTAAGCCTCAAGTACCTCTTAACATTTACATATATCATTAAATCTGTCCATGTCTAATTATTGTTCTACGTTACTAGAATGAGAAACCAAGGCTAATCATCAGGAACCCAAGGCACGCTCCCCTCTCCTGTTTTATTCCCCAAGGGTCAATTGTCCTTGGCCCCTTTAATTTTTCTTTATACTGACTTCTTGGTAAATATTCCTCTTTTGATTCCACTACCACTTGTACGCTGATGTCATCAGATTACTTCCTCCCCGGACCTCTACCCTGCCGTCCTGCAACGTGTCACTGCTTGCCTTTCTTCCATCTCTGACTGGATGTCCTCACGCTTTCTGAAACTTAACCTCTCTAAAACTGAACTCCTTGTCTTTCCTCCTCCTAATACTGATCCTCCTCTCTCGCTCTCCCTTCAAGTCAGTGATATCCACATAAGTCCATCCCTGCAAGCGCGCTGTCTTGGCGTCATACTTGACTCTGGGCTCACCTTTGAGTCTCACATCCAGTTTGTTGCCAAGTCCTGTAGGTTTCAACTCAAAAACATAGCCCGCATTCGCCCCTTTCTTACGCAAGATGCTACCAAGGAGCTTGTCCATGCTCTAGTAATTTCCAGCATGGATTACTGTAACCCTCTCCTGATTGGTCTCCCCAAAAGCCGTATTGCCCCGCTACAGTCTGTCATGAATGCTGCAGCTAGACTGATCTTCCTCTCTAGTCAGTCCTCTCACACCTCACCCCTGTGCCAGTCCTTACACTGGCTCCCTGTATGCTATAGGAGTCAATTCAAAGTGCTAACCCACACATTTAAAGCACTGAACAATTCTAGCCCCACTTATATCTCTTCACTAATCCATAGATATGCCCCTCCTCGTACCCTCCGCTCTGCCCGTGACCACCTCCTGACCGCTGCTCGCATCCATACGGCCAACTCGCGCTTGCTGGACCTCTCGCGGGCGGCTCCTCTCCTATTGAATAGCTTGCCTACTGCCATCAGACTCTCCCCTAGTCTTCAATCATTTAAGAAGGGCCTTAAAACCCATCTCTTCAGGAAAGCTTATGGCCTCCCAGAGTAATCTCTACCTTACATACCTGTCTCCTGCTCTCTCCTATGGGACAGTGCTTTGCTTTCTCCTCCAGCTCTGCTTCACTCCTACTTGATATTCCATATCCTAATGTTTCGAAAAACCCTACCTCCTATAGTCTGTAAGCTCGTTTGAGCAGGGTCCTCTTCAGCCCTTGTTCCGCACTTCCGGTGCCGGCATCCCTACGCGGGGCGCGAGGGAGCTGAAGAGGAAGCACTGAGTGCTCCCTCGCGCGCCGGCCAGGCAGCCCGCCCAGTGACCTGCCGGCCAGGAGCCCAGCAGCACCACTGGACCCCAGGGAATCCCCCCAGCACTCCAAAGGTAAGGAGGCTGGGTGGATTAAATTTGAAAAAAAAAATGTGTGTTTGTGTGTTTGTGTGTGTGTGTTAGTGTGTGTGTGTGTTAGAGTGTGTGTGTGTTAGAGTGTGTGTGTGTTAGAGTGTGTGTGTGTGTTAGAGTGTGTGTGTGTGTTACTGTGAGTGTGTGTGTGTGTTACTGTGTGTGTGTTACTGTGTGTGTGTGTTACTGTGTGTGTGTTACGGAGTGTGTTTGATGTCTGTTAGTGAGTGTTTGTCAGTGAAAGTGTATGTTTTGTAAGTGAGTGTGTATGTATGTCTGTCGCTGAGTGTGTCTCTGTCAGTAAATGTGTGTGTCTGTTAGCTAGTGTGTATGCGTCTGTTCGTGAGAGTGTGTGTGTGT